TTTTTTAAAGCAAGCCCCTGCCTGGCTCAGCACCTCTGAAGATGCTCAAACTTTCACGTTGTGATTCTGCATCCTACTGCTTCAGTTCAGGTACCACAACACCGTGTGTGTTGTGTGTAAGTTGTATCTGAACAGCCTGGACGTGAACCAGGACACAAATCTTCCTCCCATGGAAAACAATTCAGACAATCAGCCATGGGCAGTGTAGGAGAGATGTAGACAGGCCCTGATGAATTTTCCTCCAAGCTGAAGATTTACTGCCACCAGGCTGTTCTGGCAGCTGTGCAGGGACTGCCTGGCTCTACACCTCTGTCTGGATGTGGGGAACACAGTGGGTGCGGCAAATGGGGGAATGCCAGGAATGCAGGCACAGCAAGGAGGGGATGGGGCTGTTGATATTTGTTGCCTGAGCATTATCTTCTTGCCTTTTTCTTCTCATATCAACCCGTGTTGGCCTCAGTGTAATAACCAAATCATGGACATTATCCATATAATCCAAAAGTATTCCTTTTACTAGGTATTTGGGTCTGTCTTGGAGTGGAAGTTGCTTCACCAAACATGCCTGATGCAACCAAAGAGCAACAAATATGACCTGCTCTAGGAAGATGCTAAATACCTTGAAAAAAACCTAACACTGATGTTCTCAAGTCAGGCTACATGGAACAGGTGCCACTTACAGAATGGGCAACAAATTCACTTCCTTTGTCACTGTGTATTAAAATGGGCACCAAGCAAGCTTTTCAGGGAGTCTTCACTGGACTTCACTGGTATTACTGGAGTTTCTCTAAAACCTTAATTCAAGATCTAGGTTTCTGATCTATAGGATTTCCCCACATGTCCATATTTGGAACATTGTGTGACAGGACTAATTAGGGAATCAGACAGCAAAGCTAAGGAAAAAAAACCTGTCCAAATGTGTTTTCTGTGTCTGTTCTTGAGAGAGCAGGATTGTGAAGGGATTGGGTAACTACTTTGCTCTATATTGGCTATTTATTTCATTTTGTTTTGCAGCTTTGTGTTAGCACTAAAGGCGACAATATCAAAGGGATAGATGTATAATAACAGATAACAGATTTATACACATAAAACATACAAATATCCATATTCTTCAAACAGAGAAACAGAGGCATAGAGGGCTTGCCCAAAGCCATACAATAACTAATCACACAGCATTGGAAGAGAATTAGTAGTTTTTAACTTCTGAGCCTTGCTGTAACCATCAGCCAGCTGAAACCCTCCCAGTGCTCTGCCCTGACTTCTCACACACGCTGAACTGTTATCACAACTGTCTCTGTGAATCTGCCTGAGTGCAGCAAATAAGTGTTGGGTGCTTGTGACCCAGACAGAACAGCTGATCTGCCAAAGCAGCCTCACAGTTTTACTCGTTACAGATCTCAGGAGCACTTGTGAAGCAGCTTAATCACCATGTGACAAACAGGGGCTGTTCTGGCTTTTGTAGACCAGGAGACAAGAAACTTAACTTAGCCTGAAAACTAGCGGAACAAAGGTCCAAACCAAACCCACCCATGAGTCTTACACTAAAGCTCAGTAATAAAAGCAGATTCCCTTCCATGTCACATGTGTTTCTATGGACACAAAGAAAGGACAAGATTATTACAAAAATGACTATGTAGGAAAAGCTGCTCTACCTGGGACCTGCAATAGCCATTAAGAAATGAAACAATAAAATCACTTGGCTGGGGTCATCCAGAGCTGCTTAAGCTCTGAAAGAAATCTGTAAAAGAGAAGCAGATCCAACTACAGTGTGTCATCTGCCCTTTCGTTAGTACAAAAGGGCTTCTGCTTTCTTCCTTCTCCCAGTTCAGTACTCCATCATTTCCAGGACAGCTTGGAATTGTCAGTTCAATTACCTTTCAGTTTGGAGCAAAACAAAACAGATGCTGTTTATTACTAAAAGGCAGAATCTCTCTCTTTTGAGGAATATCTCTTCTCACTTATTTTTTATAATTAGACATTGAATTATGTGCAGCCCATTTATTAAGCAATACACAGGAGCTGGGAAGTAATATAATTCAGCTAAAATGAAATACTACCTTCATTCAGCTTTGGTAAAGGTGTTGGTCAACTCAACTACTGCTTTTAATTTTCAAGATTCAGCTTTTGTATCAATCTTCCCCTTTTAATTCCTCTTATCATTACACACATTAGAAACACGGTAATTTCTTAGCATCTGTCAAAAATGTGCAAAGGGGTGGAGGAATCAGACAAACAGCACCTGCCTGTTTTAAACAATACAGGATTTTCTGGCTGATTTAATTATATTACTTTGCACTACTATTCAGAAATGCTACTCCTCAAATATTAAAATGCAACTTCAACGTGTTGTCGGAGAAAAAAAAAAAAAAAAAAAAAAAGAAAGAAAGAAAGAGGCAAAGAAAGATTTTGGTTTTTTTTGCATACAATACCTGATTTAAAGCGGTCCTACTGAGACGTTCATGTTTGCTCTACCCGCAGCAGCCACGCTGACGAGGGCTGACTGAAAGGCACATGCAGGGAGGTCAAATAGTTCCCCCGGATCCGTCGGGCAGCACCAGCCGCCCCGAGGCGGAAGCTCACTGCAAAGCCAGCCCGTCCCTGCCCATATGTTGTGGCCCCAGAGGAGACGGCGGATCCCTGCGCTGAGACACGGGGAGCATGAAATTAAGCCCTTTCAGACCGTCCCCACAGGCCCGCAGGAGCTGCTTCGTTTCTGTAAGCTCACCTCCTACCACAGTGATACAGGAGGCCTTTACACACGGTGAAACGGTTCCAAGAAATGTAAGGATGTGAGAGGAGAAAAGCACTCGAGGAATAGTTTTAATAGCTGTTTTGAAGTAAGGATGGGAAGCAATTCTTATCTGCAGGCAAAATTGATTGAGCTGCACTTTCCATACCAGAATATTATATTACTATAAGCACCCAAAACTAATATGACCTTGTTTACTTGTAGACCATTTGTTCACAATTCTGTAACATTAAAAGATAGAGAGGATGATGACTTAACATAAGATAGAGTTTTATAAAACAGGTCTTTATAGCACAGTTCTCTGATCCATAAAATCCTACCGGTTTAGTGCCTCTTGAATACTTCACATCACCTGCCTTTGAGTTTCCCCTTTGTCATCCAGTATTAGAATACACGGGAAAAATGCTCTCTGGATACCTGTCATATTTCTGAATCTGTAGGAACACTGTCCAATCCAAGAGTGTTTCTGCTCCTCCAACCAGCCAATGTAATAATGCATTTTGAAAACGTTTTTTCACTTAATCCCAAGATGCAAGCACAAAGTCCCTAAAGCACTGAGGTGAGCAGTTAGATCAGATTTACCAAGGAGGAGATAAAGGCACAAACAGGTTAAAGCTCCAGCTGCTGAGCCCCTGTAACTGCACATTTCATTGACAGAAATTCTATAGACAGTGCACCTGTGAGTGAAAACAGGGTTTATTAGGGGCTTGTTTAAGACCCACAGGGAATCAGTGTCAGAGGCAAGATTACCCAGACTCCAGAGCTCTGTTCCAAATGTATCTTTACTCTAACCTTTAAAACCTTCTAGTAATTCAGTAGATTTTACTGGGGTGGAACAATCCAAAGAGGAACTACGGAAATGCTTGTGCAACACTAAGCACAACTCATGATTTTATGTTATTACAATTCCAGTTGCACGTTTATCTCCTTCCCCTTCCTTGTACTGTCTCTAAACTACACCATAAACTCCCCAAACCTACCATTTTATTTTCTTCTAAGACACCAAAGCCCCTTTCAGTGTCACTCAAGTTTTGTGGTTGTTTTTTTTTTTTTTTTAACTGATTCTAGGGAATTGTTCTGGGTAACAAGCTCAGGAAAACCAGGAATTCCATGGTCTTCATTTTCCTCACCAAAATTTAGATTGCTTTTAAAAGAGCTAAAATCACACCTGTAGAGTCCTGCACTGTGTGTAACCAGACACTGTTAAAGTAAACTGTCCCAAAGCAGTGCAGAGTTCACTCCTAAAATGCTACATTCTTGTTCTAAATTGCATCTGCAGGGAAAGCAGCACAGAGCTTAAGCTCTTTGTACAACTGATTGCCATAAAATTGCAGACAATTGCACCAGGCTTTAGCATCTGTAGTTTAGCCTGCTAATGAATATGAGCTTTTTTAACAAGGTATCTCACATGGGAACTGTCACATCGCAACCTGGGATAATAAATACAAGCTCCACAATGAACTGAAGGAACACGGAAGGAGGTAAAACTAAGGGACACTCGTCTTTTAAGTTTACCCAGTCAAAGAAGAGAAGCCCAAACCTCTGCGTGCAGAGGCACAGCAGTGGGACACCTCTGCCTCACGCCTCCGGCTTCCTTTCCAGATCCTGCAGAGGCTTAGATTTCATGACAGATTATCGGCTCGGTAGGTTTGTGTGCTCGCTCCTGCCAAGGTTTCCTGTGCCCCTGGCACCCGGCGCGTTCCTGCACCTCACGGCTCACCCCAGACTGCCAGTCTGCTAGTTCTCCACGGCAAAAGTGGCTTTTCAGAGGGAGATCTGCAGGTGTCACCCTCCTCTTGCGGGTGTCACTTCCTCCCGTGGCAGCACAGCGCCTGCAAAGGGATCCCCCTTCTCCCTCGCCCCCTTCCCTGGGGCACCCACCGCGGCCCGCCATCGCCAAGGGGACGGAGCCTCGGGGAACGCGCCGCTCTGGGGCTCTCTCCCCATGCCCTCTCCCGTCCCCAGCCCAAAGTCACTTCGCTGCCCCCGAGCACCGTCCCCCGACCCCCCACGGCCGCCTCAGGGTGCCCCTTGCCAGAGGTCACCGCCTCGCCCGCCACCCCCTCAGCGCTGCCGCCCGTCCCGCCCGCGCTCCCCTCACGGCTTGCCCCGACCTGCCGCCAGGGCGGGTGCTCGGCTTCGCGCGCCACCCGCTCCGAGCCAATCACGGCGCGGCGTGCGGGCGGCCGCGCGGGCTCGCACCAACCAGGCACCGGCTTCTTGCGGCGGCCCCGAAGCGCCCCCGCGGGTCCCCCGGACCGGGGCGTCCCGCCTGCCAGTGACCGTGATGGCGGCCCCGGCGGCGCGGCGGGCGAGCGGCCCCGCCGGCAGCGCCCGGCGCGGCGGGTGAGTACGGGCCGGGCGGCGGGGCAGGGCCGGGCTCCGGCCCGCCGGGGAGCGCGGCCGGGGAGCCCTCATCTCAGCTACCGTGGCGGGAGGAGGCCCGAGGCGGAGCCGGCGGCGGTCCCGCAGCCCCGCGGCCCCATTCCCCCGCACTGCGCTGGAGCGTTACCAAACAGCTTAGGAAGGAGAGGAAATTAAAAAAAAAAAAAAAAAAAAAAAAAGGACAAAAAAAAAGGGCGCTGCAAACACGTGTTGGCGGCTCGGATCAACGGCGGGGCTTCTCACGCAGCTGCGGGACGGGCTCCGGCTCGTAGCGGGCTCGGAGCATCCCCCGGGGGCAGCGGGCAGCCAGGCCGGGGGGTCCCCGGGGGTGCCCGAGAGCTGTGGGAGCGCTCGGAGCAGCCGCGCTTTCACCCACCGCGTCAAGATTTACTGTCTGGTCCCAAATTCTGGCTAATCCACCAGGGTTTGTCCAGACCCCGCTGACAGCCGGGAGAGCAGCCCCAGCTCAGCCGGTTGTTTCACCCCTGCACCTATCTCCTGGCAGCGTTCTGATGAGCAGAAGTTCGTGACACGCTTGGGTTTTGTCCCCAGATGTCCGCCTGTTCTGCTTCCGAAAGATCCATATAGTTCTTGGGTTCTGCTCGTCTGTTGTTCGGGAGCTTTCTCCTATCAGGGTAACACGGGCCATTACTGATAAGGAAAAGCCTAACGAATCCCAGTTAAAAATACATAAAGCATGAGAAGTTTGTCTTAGATGATATGATCTACCCAGAAGATTGGTAGAGAGGAAGGAAAAATCCATGGGCAGGAGCAGACAGTGTTTTAGTTACCCATTTAAATCTCACTGAGTTTTCATGGGAAATTTTGTGGGACAGAAGAGTTTCTTTAAGTTTGTCTTATCAGTCTAAAAAGTTACCAAGATAGCAGCAGAGAGCATAAGCACACATCCATCTTCCTGAGGCAGCTACCAAGTAATAGATATTTTCACACTTTCTGAGAAAAGGAGGCTACTAAGGCATGCTTGTCCAAAATCATATTATTTCCCCCAACAATTGTAGAATAAACAGAATAGAACAGACAGCTCATACACAATGAGGTACAATAGCATAGTAGTACACAAGCTCTGTGAAACACTTTAGGTTACTTAGAAATGTGGGTTTCTATATAAACAAACTGTTACTCAACAGCTGCTATACTGCATTAAACTACAGGGCTTGCTGAGATATAGCAAAATGTGAATAACCTAGCAAGCAAACTAAATTTACTTTCCAAGAAGCCTACTTACTGTAGGCATACATAAAAATAGCTACACGATGCTGATTTTATGCAAGATATATTTTGTTCTTTAGAGGAGTGGTTTATATTTCTCTCCTATCTTTTACTCAAGCGTACAAAAAAATTTATATAATATTCTTCTTAACCAGGCCTCTTAAATAAACACCTCGCCAACATTTTTTACCTGATGAGAGGATTAAGATATTAGTGCTTTTAGCCTCAGTCACAAAACAAATCAATATTGCTGCTCAGTTGGAACCAAAAAAACAAACCTTCGTCCTCTAATCTTCACATTGTAGCTCTGTTTATGTCTCTGTGCCTCTGAGAGTCCTCTCTCAGTCCTACCCAAACTAGGTGCTGGAAGCCACCACAACACTCAAAGACCTGCCTGCCCCAGGCAGAAGCACAGCCCCAGTTAGGAAGAGGTGGGTTGGGAGGGTTTATATCTCCCTGTGGCTGGGTGGGAGCAGGGCCAGGGGCCACAGGGGATTGGCCAAAAGACAAATCCTTCTGTAGGATTGGGCCAAAGAGAGTGTCCTGGGCTCGGGCAGCATCGTCCTGCACCCAGAGCTGTGGGAGCAGCGTTTGCTTGGGGTGGGAGGGGTTGACATCTGTGACAATGCATGGGACAGTTTGTACACTAAATAGGGCACTTTGGATCTCTGGAATGCTCATGAGTGAATAGTGGAGACAGGTTCTTAAGGAGCTGCTGTTTCACAGTAGAGTGAGGCAGCTCACTGCCCTATTTCTAGACACTCTTCATCCTACACGTGTTCATCATAAAACTTTCATGGGGCTTGTTGTGAGAGTAACAAAATACACAATCTGCTGAACTGCTCAGTGCCTTTTCTACAGAAGGGCTGTGCTGGGCTTTGAATGAAGGTATGAGCTTGATCTTAATGGCCTTCAGGTGCTGGGCCTGCTCTGGGGAACTCCCAGAAAACACCTTCCCATGGCATGGTGTTTGTTAAACATCTCCAAATGGCAAATGCTGGTGTAAGAATGTTTTGGGTTTTTTTTCCTAGATTTGCTGTCAAACTATGCATACAACACCCTTATTTATAAACTGGAATGGAGAGAAAAAGCTGCACTTTTATCTGTCAGTCAGTGTATATCAGCAAAAATTGGTTTGCTAGAAATTCCTATAAATACAGCACAAGCTTCTTTATTTTATTTTGTGCCACTGCCTTTTTGTGGTTTTCTAGGATTTCAGGATTATTCCTTTTTAAACGGAGGTAGTTATACAATCCTGGTTACCATAATAACCAATGCCATGATGATGAATGACAGCTGTCACTTTTGCAGTGAATTCATCCATAGATTTGCTGTAAAATTTTCTAGTTGTCATTAAAGACATGGTGCTTCAATACAGATGATGTCTCATCCTTCTGTGGGAGCTGAAGGGGCTCTTACACCTTTCAGAATTGTGCCTTTTGTTGAATTTTTCACTTTGATCCAGACTCTCCACATGCTCTGTCTTTCTGTGGCAGGCAGTACCTGAAACAGAAAAATAAAGTGATCCTTTAATTCCCAAACACTCTTTTCTTTTCTTAACCAAGTGAGGAAATATGAACACAGCAAATATTTTTCAGATTTACAGTACCTTAATTTGAAACAGTATCAGCCCCCATGGAAACAGTGTGGTAGACTAAACTAGTTTGATCATTCTTTTGATCATATTTCTTTTGATCAATTGCTTCTCAACTCACCAGAACAAAATTAAAACAAAAATAAAAGTGTTCTTTCAATTGTGGAACATCTTGTTTGACCAATCTTAATCTTGCAAGTAAACTGAAGGTCTGACTCTTCTGAGTGTTCCAAAGTCATTCCTTACTCCCTTCTCCCTCTTTGTTGCTCAGGTTTCATTTTAAGCCACAACTGTCTTTTGAAACAGTCCAATGTGCAAGTCCTGAATGTGCTGAAGAAAGAAGGAAGGAGTCAGAGATATTTTTTTATTGGAAAGCTCTCGGCAAGTAAGGTTAAAACAAAGAATAATTTCACCTCCAAAAGGCACACTTGTAAGTCGAAGACAAACTTTTAAGTTCATTTCGAGTTTAATCCTGTTCCTGATTCAATGTAGAACAGATCTCTCTCCGAATCTTCTGAATTTAGGAAGGGAAGCGGAGCCTCTGTGAAATCAGCTCCTGATTCTTCCCAGGCAGGCTCAAATGAGATATTTGATTGCTGCTGAGTTGATAGTACTTAGCACATATACAACACAAATTGAGAAGATCTCACTTTACAGATATAATACATTTACTTCACAGTCTCCCCCTTAAGCAGATGTGGATATCCCTGTCCGCAGTCTGGGGTTATCGAGGCAGAGAATGTTTAGCTGGCCCAAATTTTTTTTCACAAGCACATACTGAAGCCAAGAAGTGTGGCTGCCAGCTCCTTTGCTGTAATTATTCTGTGCTCTCAGTGGGTCTCAAAGCAATTGACAGTATCACTTGATGCACCTTTGGAAGCCCATTTGTCAGCAAATGTGCCTTTGTTGCAAATTATCAGGCAGACATCAGCTCCTCGTGAGTAGGAGACCGTATGGCTCTGCTGATATCAAAACAATCAGCCCAAATCGAAGCCATTTTCTCCAAGGCAGCTGCTTTTTTTGGTTATTATCTGTTCCCCCGTGTTTCTATTCTTGGTGACAGATCAGGCTTCTGTTCTTGAGGAATTCACTTTTGGCAGCAAGAAATGTTCACACTCCCCATCATTTTTCATAGACTAATCTGTGTTGGGAACTTTCAGTAAATAACATGAAAGCATCAGTGATTGAACACTTTAGGGAAAACAGTATCATTAGGTTGATTTATTTTTCTCCCTAAAGACAGCAGCTTCTGAAACACATTTTATTTCCAAGTGTCTATAGATTCCATAATTATCTGATCTTTCTGTTTGCTAGTTGTTTTGTAAGTTCTGTAAGTAATATATCATGCTGTATAGTTTCTTATTACATTTCGACACTGATACCTCATACTGATGTTGTGAGGTTTGGTTCAGTTATTGTGGTTTGAAATCCTTGGATTTCAAAGGAGAATCTGAACCATAATATTTTTACCTATATAAATGCACTACCCGTGTAAGACAGTATTATTCAAAAGATGATTAGGTGAAGAAAAGGGGGAATGGACTCTTGTAAAGTTCTGCTTCTGCTATTCAGAGGGATGTTCCAAACACTTGTTGATACTCAGATCCAGCTACAAGAGTTATTCAGGGCACTTCCAAACAGAAATGAGTTTGTAGGGATGGGAATGTATTTTCTGATTTGAAAAGGTCTGGGTATCAGATACACATGGCAACCCAGGCAGTGAACTCATTAATTCTTATAAAACAGAGATACTCTAAAGTGGATTGCACACCTCTCCCCACAGGTGTGGGCTAGCATTGGCTGAGTTTGGCATACAGGACTTCCAGGCAATTGGCTTGCTGGTAGGGATATATGCACTGGATTGTTTGGTGAACCCTGTGTTTGGTTTCACTCTTGCCCAATGATTTGGAAATATTTCTCAGGCTGAATGCAACATGATGACACCTGAACACCACATCCAGCCATTTCCAGGTTTCACAAACTGCTCTAGGCATGAAAATCCCAAGGAGGATGGAGTGTGCTGGGAAAGTGGAAGGGGTAAACTGGCTGCACTGGGAGTCTGTGGTGTCTGATTAGAGCAACCACAGCTTCAGGCATCTCTGATTGTCTGAATACTTGACGCCCTCTAACATGTTCCAGCAAAGCAGCCCCACTTCATTTCTGTCCTGCAGAGTGTAACATGTCGACGTGACTAATTGCCTGGGCAGACAGAAGAGAGATAAGAACAGGGAGGGCAGAGGGAGGCAGATAATCCAGTGTGGAATAGTAGTGCACAAAACTCCCAGGATGGGTGCAGAGGGTGGTGAGTCCCTGCAGCAGGGCAGGGATGATGGAGAGACACGTCTGGAGGTGGGAATTACAGGAGTCCCTGAAACAGAGGAGTCTGGGAGGGGAGCACACAAGGACCTTGTAGGGGCTGGAGTGAGTGGATGCACAACTCCAGAGATCCACAGACTGCCCCCCGAACTTATTAACTGCTTCAGCCTCATTGTGTGAAACTGTTTTCTGAGTGTTTGCAAGACCTCTGTAATGCATGTGAGGTTTTTAGTTGGAATGACATAATTCTTGCAGACGTTTTATTTTGATAAATTCTACATTTGAAACCAAGCACACAGATCACATTTTATATGGCTCCAGTGCCAGTCCAGGTGCAGAAATTGAGAGAGGTTGGTTTATCATTGTAGCCTGTCTTTGCTCTTCAGTTATCCTGATACTAAGATATCCCAACCTACTGGGATTAGCTGTGTTTGGAATTCTTGGTTTTAAATGAAAACCCGTTGTAAATTTGAAAAATGAAAGATTCTCCTCGTTTGGTGTATCCAGACTGGCACCAGAATGACTTGCCTTCTTGCTTTCTCTGTGTGAAATGTCTACAATCTAACCATTGCTGGTACCTTAAAGTGGGGATGTGAGAAAAAACAAGCTGCTTCTGGGCTTCAGGTCAGTTTGTTAAAATTTTGGAGAAGCCCTGAGCACGTATGGTGATGAAGCAGTGCTGCAGGCACCACTGATTATTTTCACAAGCTTTTGTTGTATTGTCCATTCTAACAGCTTTTAGAATTTCTCTAAATAAGGAATATTCACTCTTTCCAACCAATCTTTCATCTTTTTTAACACCCTTGCTGTGTTTCCTGCTTCCTAGCACTGAAGGACTTCAGGGTGGCATTCCCAAGCATGCTGATGATGTGCCTTGAACTCTAAGGAATGGCGTGTTTTGCATTCAGGATCACATTTCAGTTTGCTGCCTGAACCAGAATGTCACTGAGGGCAGTGCAGAGATCCTGCCTCCTGCTCAGTGCCTCCCTGCACAGCCCCCTGCCCTCCAGCCCACCCCAGCTGATGATCAGGGCTCCACAGGATGGGCACAAAGAGTCCAGGATGTTTTTTCTTGTTCTCCTTTTGTGACTTTGGCTTCCCAGTTACCCATTAGTGTCACAGATAACTGCTTTTGAAGTCCAGACCCAGAGAGAATTTCAGGGAATTAGCTTTGTTTGAACGAGTGAGAGCACAGTACCTAAGTCTTTAGTAGTTCTACTAATAAATCCTCTGTTGCAGGGGAGTAAGAAGAATAATCATGGATTTATTTCTTAGCCCTTTTGTTGTTAGTGACCATTTTCTCCTCAAAATCATCTCCTCTTGCCTTCCCTTCCCTTATACTGAAGTCACTCTCAAGTTAAAGGCAGAGGCTCTAAGCTGCTGTGTGCAAACACACAGAATTACATTTTCCTCCTTCCCACTCCCTACCCTTTACTGGCAGCTCTTTGTGAGCTTCTCTTCAGTAACTTTGTCTGATCCTCTCTTTGCAGTTGCTAATTGGACTGGCAGGGATATGAAGTGACTGCAAATAACTTCATTCCCTCGGTGTGTGCACGTTGGAAGGGTCACAGAACAGAAAAGCAGGGCAGAGTCCAGACTGGTGTCTTGTGCCAGCCAGCCTGGCAGCCAAAAAATGGCACTTGCAGGTGCTGGTTGTGGTACTGCAGGCAGGGCTTTGATAACCAGCACTCTGAATGCTGAATGTCTGCTCCTTCCCAGAATGCAGGTGCAGGACTTGCCTGCAGGAGAGGAAATTCCGAAATCTAACTCTGCAGAGTGGGAGAGTGACTTTCTGAATAAGCTTCGGATGCCTTTTGTTTCCCTTGAAATGATGTGGCATTGTGGAGAGCTGTGCTGTGACTGCCACGAGGATGGGATCTGCAGAATCCACCTTCTATGAAGAAGGCAGTGTGGTATAGACCAGGGTAGTAAATCCCAGCTGGCAAAGGCCAATCCTGTTGTATCTGGGAGATGTGTGGGTGGTTTGGGTTGATTTGCATATCTAGCTGCTTCCTTGTTTGTTTGGATTTAGGAGAAGTCTGTGTCCAAGCCCTAAGCTTGTGTATGATATTAAAAAATAGAACCAGGAGTTGCTAACCAACAAAAAGACTTTCCCAAGACAATCATAGCATAATCTTATAATCTCTCATTGTGTTTATATGCAAGAGAATCCTCTAGAGCAATGCACACAGGTCATTTGTTTTGACCAGAAAAGGCATTTTGCATATGTGGCAGGAGAACAAATTTGTGCTATGGGAGTTAAAGGGGAGGATGAGCTAGAAGAAATTCCAGAGCTGCTTCCTACCTCAGTTCTGTTAGAGTCCCAGTTTTGCTACAAAGAGAAAAGATCCCTGGTCATCTGGAGTTGTTTTTAGGATTTCTAGCCTACTCATTGGTGGTCAGATCCAGGCTCAGCCCAGCAGCAGAGCCCTGTCAAAGGTTGGATGTGTTGTTCAGCAAAGGGGAGTATCATTACTGCTGGCTCCATTAGAGATTAGCTGGACAAAGCTCCTGGTAGATAAGGGTAACAAGACAAATAGCCCTGGGTGACAGCATGCTCCAACACCTGGTGGAATCCAGTGCTCTGTCAGCTTTTTTTTGGAGGCTTGCCCAAAAGCCTGTCAAGGCTGCAATAATACTCTTACTCTGCGCTGCAGGGAACTTAATTCACCTACTGATACACAAAAACTGATGCCAGTTTTTGGGCAGACTTAAGCTACTGAGGTCAGTTCTGAGTATGGGGTGGGTTGATGTACTATTAGAAGCACTTTCAGCTCCCTGGTTTTCCTTCTTTTAGAGACCAATCCTGTACTTTGAATGTTGTGAATTCCATCGCTTTCTTGTCCTAAAGGAAGCGATGTGGGAGACTGACTGACTGCTTCCCCTTCTGTTCCCACAGATGGTGATGTGGTAAATGTAGCCAAGCTCTTCTCTGCGTAGGAGACATTCTCCCCTGAGGAGCAGTCCCCTTCTGCTGGACATGCTCACAGAACTGCAGAGCCATGGACCTCAAGGAGAAGTGTCAGGTAGGTTTCCTGATAAGGGTCACACCCGACTTAAATGTGAGTCCTTTCAATTGTCTTTCATTATTTTGGGTCAAGACTCCCCATTTGGCATTGTTGTTGTATGGTTTCATATTAATCCGTGGTTAGTATCAAAGTTGAGAGTCCTGTCACCTTCACATCCCTCGGGATGGACGTGCTCACATCAGTAGGGGAATCCTTTGCAGGCTGGGACTGAGGCACCACAGTGGAACAACACAGGTGAGCTGTGCACTGTCACACCTGCTGTGTTCTTCTTGAGCTCTAGGGTAGGGCTCCATTCCCCTGGACACTCAGCTCAGCTTTATTTGAGGGGCTGAATTCACTGTGAAGATTTTTTAAATAAACTGAGGCAATAAAATCATCTGAGTCCAGTTTTTCTGGTGGTAACTTGGGGTCTCAGCTGGCTCTGGTGAGAGAACATTCTTGGTTTTCCTCTTTGGTGTCCCTCTCCCCACCACACCATGAGCTTTTGTCTGGTGGGTGTCTGTTTTTCTCTTTGCATCCTTTCCTTGCTGTTTTGTTTATGGTGCTTCCAGCAGCAAGGAGTGTTTTGTTCATTAGTGCAAAGTACCTGTTAGGGAATCACCTAAACTCAGATCAGCTCTAAAAGGTACTACAGCAGTGTCAGTGACTTTAAAAGGTCAGTTTTCCACATCAGCTCTAGCACTTGCCCACTCACTGCTTCTTTGCTGGGTGTCTGTTCTGAGCTGTGCTGGACCAGGAAGGCCCGGGCTCACTCCTGCCCGACCCTCTTGGTGCTGCTGTGCTCAGAGGATGTGTTTGAACTGTGTTATTTTTTGTATCAAATTGCTGTATTACTACGGAGGTAACATTCCAGTGAGGATGATTATCTAATTATTCTCCTGTTAGTGACATCATGGGCTGATCTGGTATTGATCATTTAAAGGGATGACGCAGGGGTGTGTTCTGTGCAGGATCTGGAGCACCAAAGAGAGCAGGTCACAGCGGGGACACCATCACTGTAGGGCACTATTTTTAGTTCATCTCTGCCTTTCCCTTCTGACATTCTCCACTGCACAAGGCAGGAAGAGCAGATCAAATTGCTGGGCAGGCAGCAGCGTGGACAGTGTTGTAACAGACCTTTGAAAGGCCTGTTGGAAAGTGTCCTGACAAGGAGATTACAGGGGTAATCATGGTGTTCTCAAATCCTAACCTCCCCTCCTGACTTCCTGAAGTTTTTTCTCCCTCCTTTCTGAATGGGAATTAAAAGGGAAGGCAGGAGATCGCCACGCTCTTCTCAATAGGATTTTAAAAAACCCACAGATACATCCACTTGCTTTTACAACTTGTTTTGTTAGCAATCCCATGGCAGGGAGTTGGAGCTAGATGGTCTTTAAGGTCCCTTCCAACCTCAATCATTCTGTGATTCTATGATTCTATATTATTTGGGGTTAAGGAGTTTGCTCCTTTTTTTTTTTTAACACTGCAGATCCTTGTTTCATCCCCTTTAAGAAAGAATCCATCTTCTTTTCCAAAGTGAAGAACTTGGACACATATATACTGATAAGGGAACAAATTAACCTGCTTTGTAACCTCAGTAGTAAATCTGATGTGCTAGGTTTATTTTAAAATGCTAAAAATAAAATGAACCCAAGTGAAAACATCAGTCCCAAATTGAGTAGAAAGCAATCTCTTTGCTCTAATATATGTGTGTGATGAAGAGTTAGCACTCCTGGAGCAGGAGACGTGCTTGGAGCACTGCTGCAGCACAGGCATCTGTCACTCAGATGAGAGACTTGTCCTCTGGCCCCAGTCAGCTAATAAGTTCCATTGTCAGAGATGGCTGAGATCAGTCTGTCAGGTGTAATGTAAGGCTGCCTTCCAGTTTTTGCCAGAAGCCAGACACCGCAGAGAAAGGCAGAGAGTATTTTAGGAGCAGTGCCAAAACCTTCTTAAATTAAATGTGCTGCTATCTTGTTCTTTCTCCTCTTCTCCTGACTTTTTAATTTTCTGTGTGTTTCTGAAGTGAATTTAATCCTTGTGAAAGGTGCCAGAATCTCTGCTCCAAGACCACTCAGCATATATGGACAAAGAGAGCAGCAGTGGTGGCCACAGGACAGGGAGGATCCTGAGTTTGCATTGTGTTAGACGTAGGCTGTGTTTGCAGCAACACAACTATTAAAAATTATTGACATCATCCATTCCACAGTTACCAATAACAACTGAGCTGTATTATCCTAGTGTAATTGCTGCAGCCTGGATACAGCACCGTGCCTCCTGGCCAGAGCCTGCAAATGTATTCAGGGAGCCTGTGCTGTGCTCCACGTCACTTCAGCTCCAGCACTGTTGGTCCTTGTTCCAGGTTGCTTAACAAGAACTGCAGTCCTACCTTTAGACTGAAAAGTAGCCCAAGTTCTTTGCCTCTTCTCATCCTGCCAGTGACTGTATCTCTGTTTTTATTCCCTGCTTTTCTCTAAAACCTCTTTTTCCAAGGGCTTTTTCACAAACTGATCCTTTTTCCACAGGTGTCTCTCGTCTGTGCTGCAGTTTTTGTGTAGGTCAGTCCCTGCCTTTAAACTCAGCCTTCTATTTCAAATCCCAGTTTTATCTTCAGATCACCAGTTTTCATTTTTTGCTCTTTCATTGTGTTATTTAATGCACAAATGCATATCCAGATGCAATTTCTGATACCAGTTGATGTCAGAAGGAAACTACATAGTGCAAATTACTGCCCTACACAAAACACTTTAGAACAAGGTCTCTCAGCAGTGGGGTAAATGAGAAGAGGCAATTTGATCCATTTCCATTTGTGTTCATGACCAAAGCTGGAGGTTTTGAGGTGGGAAAAAGTTGTGTTGGGACCTCTTAATTGCAGGCAGCACAAGGGTTGTTCCTGGTATTGCACTGTCACAGGCAAATCGTTTTATTCACTTTAATCCAAGTCTCCAGCAGGTGCAGAGCCACGGAAAACAATAGGAAGCAATGTCATAAAGGGAGGGTGTTACATGTATGTTGTGTGAGGGTTTGTCCACTCTTTCCTCATCTTGTTGTTGTTAATCTCTTCTTTTTTTCTCTCCTTTTTTCTTTGTGTTGAAGAGAGTAGGGGAGTACTTTCTTAGCAGGAAAGGAGGAAGGAAGGAAGGAAAAATTGTGCCATTAGGACGTTTTGTTCCTCTCTGCAGTTTAAAATTGTTGTCTAGGAAACAAAATGCCCTGCAGAAGGATGAAGGTTGTCTTGGCTCTTTCTCTCCCTGCTTTCTCCTGAAGTTACATTAAATAAATACAAAGTGTCTGCTTCCCTTCAGCTTTGGCTCCAAGAGCTTTGTGAGGTTACACACTGATGTGTAACTCAGTGCCAGCACACAGGTGATAACGAGACCCTGCGTGGGGTTTATTGTAAATAAATACTGAGGCCTCTTGCTCTCCGCAGTTCTGGCTTTAAACACAGAATATGGGCTGTGCCTATTGAGGCATTTGAATCTCGGGGCTGGACAGGAAGTGAAGAGCTTGTCCAGGGAGGGCAGGTGAGTCCTGACACCTGTCCATGGTCTTCAGAGCTGCAGGGTGTGCTGAGCCTGGCAGCCTTTGCAGTGCCTGTTCCATTTGGTACCAGCCAGCTGATCCTTGGCACACTAGTGATGTGGTGCTTGGCTGGGCCAGTTCTTTACCCCTTTCTGTGTGGAATGGAAGTACTTGTTTTAGTGATTGCTCTGTAGAACCAGGAAGCCCCAGACAGAATTAGGACAGCACTGAAGTGGGAGCTGTATAAAACCTCACTTGTAAAGGTGCATCCCTCCAACAATGAGAAGGAAGCATTCCTGTAAAAGATGAGAAGGAGAGAGAAGGCTTATTCCTTCTTCACCTTTTTATCCCATTACCTGCTGTTGTACCCAGCCCTTCCCTGTCTTCACTAATCCTTTGCCCTCTGCCTGCCATGCCCAGGTAAACAGGGAGCCCCAGGCAAGGCTATGAAGAATTTACATGCACCTTTTAGTTGAGATTATGTGGCTCAGGATGTATGAATATTGGATGCTCAGAGGGGCTTTTGCTGCATTGTCTATCAACAAGAGAAGAGGGAGGGAATCCTTCAGATTGGACTTGTAACTACCTCAACTTGTTTAAATAGCAAATGCTCATATTTTTGAACTGAGCTTGAATCCAGAGCTGTGGAGTCATCTGTGGGGAGTTAGTATTCACTCCATCTCAATCTAGTCTTTTTCCTTGCCTGCTCAGGTGTTCTCTCCCCTGTGGTATATTTTATAGCACTTTGTCCTACCTAATTTGCCATCTGCTTTTCCACAGACCCCTCTCTGTCAGCATCAGCCCTTACTGTGCATGCATATGCAGCTCTGCAGGCAGGGAACCCGGGGATTCTGACTGCGTCGGCTCCCCCTGTGAATGAACCGTTCTTACAGACATCTGGTGCTATCCTGGGCAAACTTTCTTCTCTCTCTGCTTTCCCCCCCCTCGTTTCTATCCCTCATCCCCCACCCCCATCCACCGCCTCCTTGCTGGATCTGCAGCGTGACTGGAAACAGGCTGAATTAATCAGCAGACTGGTGCTTCACTCTGCTGCTTCTGTCTCATTCTCTGCAGCGCTGGGCTCTGCACAGTCTTGCTCTCTCTCCCTCTTTGCTCTCTCATTTTTGGAGAGCAGCAGCAGTGCAAGTTGCTGGGGAAGTGGTGCAGGAATTTAGCCCAGATGCTCTTCAAACAGGCCGATCTCTGGATCCCCAACCAAGGCAAATGTCGCAAAGTAAGTTCCTCTCCCTTAACATTTAATTTCAAAATGGCTTTCCCTGCCTCCCTCCCCAGCCTGCATCCTGCCTGATGTGATGGTGCATGAAGGGCTTGGAGGTTTTGGGGAAGGAGGTTATGGCAGGACATGAAGCAGTGAGTGATGATTTTAGCTGGGGAATAGCTTGTTGTTGGAGGTGGCGGGGAAAGAAACTGTTTTAAACTGCAAATTTAACCCCAGAACCAACAGGAGGGTCCAGACGGGATTTTAGCTGCGGACTCCT